TGTTTTTCTTATTTTAAGTGCATAATAGACATGCTCTGTTGTCTCAGGAACACCGCAACAAAACACATTGTAAATGAATGAAGAGAAACAGAGAGGCAACGTTCTATTTAAGAGAGACAGCCTTGGGCTTGAACGCGATCCAAAGTGATCACGATGCCGAGTGGCACTCCCATGACCACAGTTTTATCACAAACGGCGAGGTATTTTGGAGAAGGAATTTTACCGGGAAAGTTGATATATTTTCCTTTCCTGTGGGAGAAATGTGACTCACTGTGAATATTTTGGCACTCGCCGTGAATATACCGGGCAGGCAAAGGCTGCTTCTTGTGGAGGGAATTTGAGGGCTCCGTCTCGTTTGGTCATTCGCGAGTGAGCAGCCCAAACCAAATTAACACCCCTACGGAGAAAAACCGAGCCCTTTGAGAACTTCGCTCTCAGCAAAAATAAAATAATTCTGAATCCTCGCTCTCAGCTTGCAGATTTCAATAATGGAAATCAGTAGGAATGCGTCGCCTCTGAGAGACGCAGTAGATGGGCAGATCGTCCATCAACACAATTAGGTACAATTGAATGTAATTTGTTATCATAAAAATAGAATGTCATTTATTTAAACACTAAAGTATCACTGTGGGTCAATCATTTTTCAGGAGAATATTTTCAATGGGAAGCAACAGCGTAGTGGTTCGCATTTTGCACTATGAACCCAGCGACCTGACCCACCGACATGAGTTTGCTTCCTGGTCATGACTAACACCAGTGGTGAGTGATATCTGGACCGGTTCAGGTTACCACCTTCACCAAACCAGCATTTTTGAAGTATGGTCAAACAATCCCTATTACCGATATGGCGTGGGGTGACCTTAATCCAGGATTGCCATGTTTTTCCATGTCTATTGGCAAGTTTTTTTGCATGTGGGAAGTATTCGGAGAAAAACCATGCAACTACACCACCACTTTTAATTATAATCCCTCTCTTCATCCCAAGCCACTGTCATCTAATGTAAAATTTCATAATCGCTGTAAAGCAAATTTTGATTTAAAGCGACCGTTTGTGTTATGATCGAAACGTTGTGAGAATTTTTATTGTTTTATATATATTTTATTCTTTTATTGTTTCCCTTCAACGTGACTTTACCGAAAGAGCTAAAAATACGCTGTAAAGCAGCTAAGAATCGCTGTAAAGCAGCTTGAGAATAAGGCACGATATAAATCTATATATGATAAGGGGGCTATAAATCTGCACAGACGCGTTCACAAACCCACTTGATGTGCTGCCATCTGAACATTTTGCAGCCCAGCGGATTTGAGAGTTTTCCAACTATGCAATCCAACAACCATTGCCGCTCAAGTTCTGAATTACAGGCCAATGCATCCTGGAAGCAGAGTTAACAATATCTGGTTGGAAAAAAACTGCTGTACACACCAGGATCTGCTAGGGTGCTGCAGTGGTGAGATGTTAACTACCTCACCTGGTAAACTGGTCGTGGGTTCCATCCTGACCCCGACGCCTGTATATTGTGGAGTGTGCCCATTCTCCCCGTGGTCACGTGGATTTTTCTCAGGGTGGTCTGATTATTTCCTCCACATTTAGAAACATGTGTTTAAACTATGGCTGCTGTACATTTCCACGTGATAAGCCACTTCTCGTTGAGCTATTATTTGTGGTCATGTCGCTTATTAAAAAGAGCAATGTAGCTCAGTGGGCCTTAACCCGGTAAAAATAAAAAAACTAGTTCGTAGTTTTAATTTTAGGTACACAGCTAATGAAATCTGGACAGAGTTGCGGTGGTAACCTCATTGGCTACTCACCTCTGAACTCTACGGACTCTCACCTACCCTGAAATAAAGGACTGTTTAAATAATTGATTTAATGCATGACGAAGTACAGACGTTTTGAAAATTAAAAATATTCTTTGACAAAAAATGCTAATAGCCGAGTGGAAATGGGGTTGCACTTAATCAGTCATGGAATGCAAATCAATTAAAGTATTCCATAGTGGCTGGCTTGGCGATGATGTCATGGGCTGGCCTCGCTAATTGAAGGTTTGCCGTCTGAAAGTTTGAAACCTGATCTTGGGCCAGGTAACCATTAGAGAGCATGGCATCATAAAGAAAACAGACCGAGACGTTCACTCCTTTGACATTATCATCACATTTACTCGCCTCCCCACTCAGCATCACTGATTAGCTCAATTACACTCCAACTTCCTCTCAACCTTTTTCAATGTTTCTTTTCCTTTATATGTATAATGTTCTTCAAGCTCTTGTTGCTATTGGAAACTTTTGTTTTAACTGTTCAATGGAAATAAAAGCAGTGTGGTATTCACTCGAATTATTATTTTCTTGACCCGTCTTTGGAGAATGACGCATTAAGGAGACATCCTACAAGCTACAAAAAAAATGTACTTTCACAACAGTAAGTCTTCATCACTTCAACACTCCAAACAATGAACTTTATTTAGAACCAATTCAGTAAAAATAAACGAAAGCTATTCATTTATTATTTTTCCCAGAAAGAAAAAAACACAGTTAACAAATTGTGTAATTTCTTATTTTCCCCACCCCCCCCCACCACTGTGGAATATTACCCCCAGAAGGGCTTCAACAAACACACACCTAGTTTCAGCTGTTAATGCTATGCCCCAAAATGTTTTTTTTTCCTCTCCCAACAATGTCACGGCTGTCAGAATGTCCTCACCTGCCTCGCCTGACTGGAAAAGCAACGCATTAAAAAAAACGCTGGGCCCTCAGGGAGTCTAGCCTTCTGTCCCGTCTTCCTGTGGACTCTAAATCCCACGGGGGGGCCCTCCCATACAAGTCTAGCCTCCTGCGAGACTGTTGCCCTGGCTTACGGCCAATTTACTCGCACACCATCGCTTCACCTGTCTGAAAAGCTCATGGGGACATTTTTGTAAATAAGCTGCACCGTGTTTAGCAGCGCCATCACGCACTGAACTAACGTGTTCAATAAATCCGGTAAGGTCTCTCTCTCTCTCTCAAAGGAAAAAAAAAACGTAGCGCTCGACTTAATGGTGCCAGACCGCACAGAGACATCGAAATATGTATGCTAACCCAAATGTCGGTGAGCAAATTGCAATCGTCATCATGGAAATGGAAGATTCTGACACAAAGACACCGCATGCAATTGGCCAGTTTTTTTTTTTAAGTTGGCCTGTCACACTACTGGCTAGGCTGCCAAGCAAAATTAAGCACATTAAAGTGTCTAACTGGGCGGCATTGTTATTCCTAGCACTTCGCACGTCTTGACCTTGTGCATCACTTTTTAGCGTGTTTAACAAAAAAACACCCGTGCGATGAATGTGAATTATCTATGTCGTGAAGTCAATGCACTGTCGGGAAAAAAACCTCTCACCAGCCGATACCACGGCAAGATGCACGGTCAACAAAACGAGCTGCCTCTTCTCTCATACGTCTCGCCCAAATGTTAAAGGGAGGTGAATAGATGCGAGGAAACTGGAGTAGGCTTTCACATATGGGAAGGCAATTCATTGGTGCCTCCATAATGAGGGTTTACATCAACCTGCCAACTCCATTGAACTACAGCGTAATCCGTGCTTGAAAGAAACAACTATGAAACAACTCTGGTGAATAGTGGTGGTAAGCACGGAGTGGACCATGAACATTTACACCCATTTTACAAGACCGCTTGTAAGTAGATCTGTACCACAATGAATATACATATAGAGCGCTGGTGAAAATAAGCTGAATATTTCACACCATCATTACATTGCAGTTACCCGCCTTTCTTATAATTTAGCATTCAACTTTGTAAGCACTGTGCGCTCACCACTAAAGTGCCATTGTCTTTAAAAACAAATAAAGGCCCCCCCTCTTGCAACTAATTCCATAACACATCGTTGGCACACTCCCTGTAATCACCGTACAATGCACACGCTACTTCACTCCGATTCAACAAATTGTCAAGGATTGAGGGTCGACTATTGCTTCTCAAATGGATTCTCAAACGTCCATTGTGTAGCACATCTTGGATCCTTAGCCCACTGCATAACACACAACAATCTGCAGCCCGATGAGGGCCTCCCCTACCTTGCCGTGCTCATCAGTGCAGATTTATGAAGGCGGAGAGCAAAGACTTTGGAGCATAGCATCGCAAGTGCCCTCTGCTGACAACGTAGCCCCGCAGTAGCCTACAACAACCTGTTATGCATGGCAGCCGCCTATCCATATCCTATCCGGGATTAAGCTTGCTGAGCTTCCGCTGTCTGACAAGATCGGGCACATCCTGAAAGACTTGTTCAGAGGCAGCGCACAACATATTCTGGATCAGAAGTAAACAACTCCTGCATGCACGATTCGACGCATGCATTCCGAGCCTGATAATGGCTTTTAATCGCTGAAAATAAGAATCGGTTACATCCCTATTATTCACAATACAGTGACAGTGGCTGGATGATTTAAGAGGTGTGTGTGTGTATCGGTCACATCCATATTATTCACAATTTCAGTGACAGTGGTTGGATGATTTAAGAGGTGTGTGTGTGTGTATCGGTTACATCCCTATTATTCACAATACAGTGACAGTGGCTGGATGATTTAAGAGGTGTGTGTGTGTGTGTGTATCGGTCACACCCCTATTATTCACAACTTCAGCGACAGTGGTTGGATGATTTAAGAGGTGTGTGAGTGTGTGTGTGTATCGGTCACATCCCTATTATTCACAATACAGTGACAGTGGCTGGATGATTTAAGAGGTGTGTGTGTGTGTGTATCGGTCACATCCCTATTATTCACAACTTCAGCGACAGTGGCTGGATGATTTAAGAGGTGTGTGAGTGTGTGTGTGTGTATCGGTCACATCTCTATTATTCACAACTTCAGTGACTGTGGTTGGATGATTTAAGAGGTGTGTGAGTGTGTGTGTGTATCGGTCACATCCCTATCATTCACAACTTCAGTGACAGTGTTTGGGTGGACTTAAAAGTGAGGCGAGTGAACCAAAAGCCGGTGTGGACTCCTACCTGTACATCCTGGAGGTCATGGAAGTTATTGCCGACGCGGATGGATATGCGGCTGGGCGTGTAGCTCTCGTCAGCCTTGTAGTCCGCGTATATGCACACCATCTTCACTGTCGTTTTCCTCCTGGAGGAGGCCAAACGAAACACAACAAAAACCAAACAAACAAAAAAGGTCGCTGCACAACCACGCGCTTCACGGTGGCCCCGGCAAGGCGTGAAAATGACCTCGTGGAGAACGTTAAATACACTCACGTCATCGTCAGAGTGAGAGCAAGAAGTCGACCCACAACCCGGTTGTCGTGATTTTCTCGTAAGCAATTTCCTGCTGAAATTTCCGCATGAAGCTAATATCCTGAGTGGTAGGCTTGACCCGTCTGGTGACTCCGAGCACCACCACCCCCCCTCCCCCCCCCCCCGCGTGAAAACAAGGTTGAGTTACACACACAAAAATATATATAGCAGGGAATTAAAAAGGGCTCATTATTCACATTTTTGGTCTGAAACTCTTAATGAAGTCAAACCGTTTTCAATGTTGCATGTATGTTAATGTACAATATTAACTTCCCAGTTTTATTTTGACTTCGATGTAACCCCGACCAGATTAAGGAATTTAGACATCTTTCAATCCATTATCTTCGGCAATTGGTAATCTAAAACCACAAGCATGCAGAAAATATCCATGACTACCCCCACAGCCAACTAAAATACCACAAAACCACCGATTCATACAATTTCTTAGTTCTATAAATCCAACATGTGGAATACTTATCAGTTTGCAGAAGCTCATGATTGAATATATTTTTCTCTTTAAAAAAAATTACAATTACATTTTACCGCATTTTATGAATGACTAGCTGCACTACCCGGCTTCGCCCGGGACTTGGATTCACCACGCCCGGCCGCCTTTGTCCTCCAAGTGGCGATGTTCACACACCACACCAGTTAATCGTTTGAGGCTGAGTCGACCTAGGGGAGGCCCAGGACCGGTCCAAATAATCGTCACCGGTGGTGGTGGTGGCCGTGAGCGGGAATCGAACTCGGGTCGCCGGGTTCATAGCGCAGCGCGCGAATCGCTACACTACCGCTGCCCGCCCCCCCACACAGGATAAAGACAAAGATCCCCCGTTTAGCCTGTAGGGGGCAAGTGCTGTTAGCGAGCACCTATGAAGCCCGGCACGGCACACGAGGTGGTGGGAGGCCAGCACCACGGCCGGCCACCTTTGTCTCCCCAGTGGCGATGTTCACACACCACAGCAGTTACTCGTTTGAGGCTGAGTCGACCTAGGGGAGGCCCAAGACCGGTTAAAATAATCGTCACCAGTGGTGGCCTTGAGCAGGAATCGAACTCGGGTCGCCGGGTTCGTTGCACGGCGCGCTAACCGCTACACTACAATGCGTTACGCTTCCACATGCGCGGGTCACGTGACAGATTTGACGTCACAGCTCATTTGCCATGCAAAAAAATTATATGCATTATTGAGCTGATCCCCCCCCCCCCCTCCAAAAAAAAGTGTATTTTCATAATTTTCGCATGGTGTACAGTCTAGAAAGTACCCACATGGCAAATTTCAAGTATGTTGCATGTCGGGAAGTACGCTAAACATTTTGAAACAGACACAATCACAACTTTGCCTTTTATATATATGGAGATAACAAAGCATATCACAAGCTGTGATATAACACATAGACATCGTGTCATTATATATATAAATTCACTCATTCAAACTACAAATGCTTTTCGCGAAAGGGTAACCCCAGAGGAGACCCGAATTCGAAGCCTTGCCACGGCTAACGCACGTATGTATGTATGTTGAACTTCTTTCGTACCGTACCGTACGTAACCAACCACGCTAATCGGAGGTGCGGAGGGGGGGGGTGGAAGGACAACACACTCAACACAAGAAGCAATTCTAAATTAAACGAGTTTTAAATCTCGATATAATAGCGCATTGCTCAAGTGGCTTCCGAATTCGAAAGGAGGAGCGTTCCAGACGGTGAAGAAGCGCATTTGAAAACGCGCAATGTGGTGACCACCGTATTTATTCGTGGCCAGCCAAAAGACGCCGCTGCGAGGATGACCGGAGTTCACGAGATGGGTTATGCTCCTTGACGAGATCAGCAAGGTACCTTGACGAGATCAGCAAGTGTTGTTATCTGATTTGACTCGAGCCCCCCCCCCCTTGGCCCCAACAATCATTGACCAGCGTGAGGCATGGTCAAAAACACCAATGACGGACACAGAGTTTTGCCAGAATATGCAATGTATTATCATGCATTACCAGGATTGATATGACACATTCATTCATGCGGAGTCCACATTAGATGTTTTTTTTTTTAACTACAAGTTTTCCAGAGCGAGTACAGTATGCTTTCCTTGGCTTAGATTTTTATGTACATACAAAATTTCTTTACGATATTCGCATTTTTTGGCAAAAACACTTCAATTCTGATCAAATTTTTGATGTAATTATCCTCGATCCAAATCACCAATCATTACGCAAACATGCTGCCAATCAAACACATTCAAATATTTCCACGGCTCCCAAAGCCATTTCGGAAATTTCACGACAATCTGTGTCCAAGACGCAATTTCGGCAGGCCGCTAGTACCGGTACGTCCTATGGTAAAATTGGACCAAAACAGTCCCCATACCACCCATACGGAAACCATTTATGAAATGTTATTGGCAGTTATTAGCATTTCTGGCAAAACTATGCCACTCCAGGCAAATCCACAAGACTGCCAAGCGTGAAAGGCACTGAAGAAAAGCTTAAACGCCCCTCGAAAAGGGGCCCCTCCACCTGCCGCAGCGAGTGCCACATGAAAGACATTCCTGTACTCTCATCTGTAAAATTTCGATCATTTAGCAAGCCACCTCTGTTCAAATGCCAAAGTAATGTGACTGTGCAATAGACTGTGCAAAATGTTGCTGTGGCACAGGGACGCAGAGGCGCACTACACTGTATTCTGGTGACAAGACCAGATTTAAGGACACGTACTTCTGTCAGTTCGCTACTGGATGAAAATGCAATGCTGTGCGGGTCAAGGGGGTAAACTTGACCATACTTCACCATCCTGGTCATTCTACGGTGGTAAAAAATGGTGTGCATAACTTTGCAAGCATAGCAGTAAAGCACAATGTTTTTTTTATGCGCTGCCCTCTGCTGTTCAAAACACTGCTCCGCAGGCTATAGCCTTTAACATCTGTGTTGTAGTGTTCCGCCTTCCAATGATGTCAAGGCTTAACCTTGCGTAGCTTCCAAGATTGGGCATAATCCGGGTGATATGGTCATAGTTGTATTACCGGACATCTGTGAAAAAGAGCTTCATAGCTCATCTGTTTTCTGCAAGATAAATAAATATTTGGATGCTGTGTTTAACAACGTGCAGAAAATATCTGGACATGCATCTTGCCCCTTGACTACACCAACATGGGCAGAAGTGGAGGGCAAGGTGAGCTTCGGTTGACCACAGGCTCACACCTGAACTGGATGTTGACCAGGTGCGGCTGGGAGCCATCCGACTGCCAGTACGTCTCCAGGTTGTCATCCCTCAGTTGATCCACGCCAAATCCTGGTGGTCACAATGGAGTAGGTGAGCAGGTAATGTCACATTAAGAACAAGAACTTGAGAGTTGTATACTACAATGAACAGAAAACGTGCACATAGGGCAAGTTAACGGTCTTGGAGTAGCGACGGAATGACTTTGTGTCCAACCAAAAGGCTATTGCAAGACACAGAAACGAGACTCGCTGCATGCACGTTACAGGGATGCCAGCTATGGCACTTTTTGCCTGTGGCTGTACCTTCCCTCCTACGCTTCCCCTATCATTGCCCCTGCCCACCAGGTTCTCCGAGCTATTGAATCTGTAGAGATCAAGGTAACCGGACAACCCAGTGTGTCACAACAACAAAAATATAGCGTGGAAAATTATTAAACAAACATCAACGTTATCAAGTATCTCCCATGCCCTGTATAGTAACAGCCCAAGAATATTAATATAATTTTTAAAATATAAAGTCTGATTGTTAAAGTGGTTAAGTTGGCAGTGCATCATCCACAGAATATGCGAGTGGCCCAAGCAGAATTGGAGAGGGGGTCCCCGTATCTTTCAATCAGTCCTATTTTTGTTAAATGCGGCGCTGCTCATCCTATAAGCAGCAGCAGTCGAATGATGGAAGCGCACAGGCCCACGGAATTGTTAATGACAAGACCCATCTGTCGAAGTCTCACCAGGCTTGCAGGAGGAGAGCGACCACACAGCCTGGGAGCCAATCTCCCGCACTCGCCCCGTCCTCTCCAACTTCTTGGGGTCTTCACCTGCTGGGGTTTTGCTGTTCATCGTGCCGTTTGCTTAAATCCTGAAACCACAAATCACGCATCTCATTGCTCTGCATTCATTACACTGATAACATTCTGGCAGATCCCTACCCGGGCTGCAGGTTCAACCAAGGATAAAATACAAGAATTCCCCCATCATTATTAGGATCCTAAATTATTTTTCTCTTTAGCCCACCTCTCACCTCACTCTACTCTCAAACTAATACACCAAGGCATACTGAAAAATAAAACCCCTTGTGAACTTCCGCACAGTCAGTGGTGGCTCTTTATTCTCAGATACCCTTGACGTCTGAAACTCTCTCCGCTGCACATTTGCATGACCAACTCCCTCTCTGTCTCAAGATCTTTCCCTTCTCTTTCGATGTTCACTAATTTTTCGATCACACCTCCACCTTATTCCCACCTCAGGCCATCCCCAAGTGCGGGCATGTTCCTCTACCATGTATTGTACTTTATTTTCATAACAATGACAAAGTGGCATTGAAAATAATCCATCTAAATACTGTATGTTTAGAGGAATATCCAAGATGATGTGCGTCAAATTAACCTGCAAGGAAATGGGGGAAATGCGGCAAGGTTACAGAGTCCCGTGCAATCGAGTGGTAAACAAAGTTCGTCCGTGCACTCTGCCAATTTGGAAGGAACAGAACGTTTCGTAGCTGCGGCGGCCTCTAAAACTCGAGGATGTTTCCCGGCAACACTTCAACACAAAGGCACCTGTGCAGAGAAATGTGGCGCAAGTTTTCATGCCTCCCTTCCCAGTGCTGCAGTAACTCAGCAGCGAGGAAGAGATTGCCACAATTCGATAAATTTACTTATTACTCATCGTGTCCTCACATTGTCAGTCACTATTTGTCAATAGGTGACGTGATGGGAAAGACCTCCCGGTTTCAACATTCCACGCAGCCAATGGTCGACCAATCTCCCGAATCAGCACCGGGCACGGCCGGATGCGGCCACCCGATGCACAAATGCCACGTCAAAGATTCGTAGGCCTGCGAGTGTGGCCACGAATCCCAAACCATCAACCACACTGTAAACAGACTGCTGTGTTCACTCATTTAAAGGGGGAATGGACGAGATCCACTCTGCTTCTTGACAGACAATTGAGTGGATAACAAATCTAAAATTACATATTTAATCTGCTGCTATTAATCCATACGAAAGAAGAAGTTGGGAAAGACTCGAAGTGCTTTGCTCGTGTGAATCTGGTTAAAGTAGTGCTTCAAAGGACATTGCAATACAGTACATGTAAGAACATTGTTGGCCAAATTTTAAAATAATAAATTGTTTCAATAATATCTTTGGGACCCTTTTTTGCCAGTATCAAGAAAATATTTTACCCTTTCTGGAATAATTACAGGTGTTAAGATATTCAAACATCAAATAGACATCTATTACAAAACATCAAGGGTGCATTAATTACACATACTTGCGGTAAAACATACAAACAAATATGCTTTGAAAATGTATGCATTGTCCTTGAAACTGATAGGCCTACACCAGAGACAGTTTCATGTATGGCTTTGTCTCCCCGGTGCTATAGAGCATAGGCCACCAAAAGGGCGAACAAATACAAGGACGATGCAAACGCCAAAGTTGACAAGTTCTATTATTTCACGGAATACAGGGAGACCTCGCTTCGCGCGACTCCGCGGAACGCCGATCCGTTATACTGCTCTTCATTCTGCAGACATTTCTTTACAACAAAAAAACGAAATAAAAAAAACCATCTAAAGCGCTCGCTTACAAGTGAGAACATGCAGCAGCCACCATCCGACAAAACGCACCCGACCCCACGATTCGCTTAGCCCAATCGGAGCGACGTGCGCCGAGACGACCAGAACCGACTCCGCCGCAATTTGATTACAACGAATCGTGGTCACGAGAGGTGTTTTGCTATCGGTGCGTTTAGCCGGGCGAGAACTCACGAGACCAGAGTAGAATCTCAGGCACCACATAAAAAAATCGCCAACACAGAAACGTTGACCAAGGACATCACACTATGACCCCCGATTGCGGAGCGCAGCAGCTCCAACCTCTATTCCCACCGCTGCCTTGCATGCATGGACTTCTTTCGCGCCGTACGTGGCCGACCGTGCCAATCGGAGGTGTACAGGAGAATGCACTTGTGAGCGCAGTACATAACACTCGTGTTATTAAAACACATTTATTATTTTTAATTAATGAAATAATGTTTATAACCTGTGTTATTTAATAGCGCCGTTACCGATACCCCAATGAAACCCTCGTATATTGCTCGTACGAAAGAAATAACGCTCTCAGGTACGCATCCCCCATACATACAATGGCATAATGCCCCCTTTCAGTGCCGATTCCATCGCACTCACTTCTCCAGGAACGCACCTTGAGCACTAAGCGAGGTCTCTGCCTGTACTGTATATTTAATAATAATTGTATATGCATTTAACATTACACATTACAGTGTATGCGGATACTGGATATAAATTTTATTGTGAGAAACATAAAAAAAAACGTTTAACGAATCAATTTGGCATGCTTAAATTAACAAGGATAATTCACATTATTTTTGTAGGTACACATGTGTATTTGAAATAACACGTCTGGTGCATAAACGTAACTTGAAGTGCCAACATTTTTTTAAAATTTCCCAAACAATAAACGACGACAGGAGCAGCGTATAAATTTGGTTTAGGGTTCTTTTCCAAAAGCCTCTCTACTCCCTCAGGTGCAATAAGAGCAAAAAGATTTTAAGAGCTAACCTTGGGCCCTCCAGGCCAAACCTTGCGGAGAAGTAATTCACCTTCCAACACTAACAAATAAAATAAAACGAGACCTCAAGCCTGTATTCCCATCACAAGCAGTCTTGTTGACTCCGAGCGTTACATTCCCGTCGGTAGCTGCTAATCGCATCAACCCGGTGAACCTGCTGCATAGATCAGTGTCGTCCCCAAATGTATCCATCCCGTAAGTGAAAGCAGAAATCATTTTTTTTTCATCACCGCATCAACGGGGTCAAAAGGAAGCACTGTAATTAAAATTGTGAGGTGGTGGGAGGGGGTGGGTGGTGTTATGGAAGTCACAATTTAATGTCATTATTCCTCGTGTTGTCTCTTTTTTTCATACCGTGGGTGCATCACGTATTGTAATTGTACTCTTGGCTACCATCAGCTCAATCCGTGCTCATCAGTAGAACAAAAACATCCTGTGCTTGTTGCTATGTAACATTACGGCCCTCAAAAGGCTGTGGAACAGGAGCATCAGCGTTTTCCCATCTTCTTGCCTTCGCGGTGACACACCTCAGCATGGAAACGTTAGGACCGTGTTGGCAATAGCTTGGCCACGTTAATAACTCACACGATAAATACCCTTTGGTATTAAACTAAATAAGCAATTAATGGGATAACAAAAATAGATTATGTTTGTGTTAAGACTGTATCAGTGTAAACACTGTGCCAGTGTGTACAAAACACATAAACAATCAAGTGGCCAAATAAACTGAACACGTGATACACGATCTCGAAATTAGTTGCCTTTCACTTAATTAAGAATACTGGGGTTGGCAGGGTATACAGATGTGCAACAATAAAAATGTAAACAATGACATGGGCTTGTTTCTTCATCCTCAAATCAAAAGCTCAGCTACAAAAATGTTCCCAGAAAGAAAATCAATTCAAGAATTGTATTCAATTTCCAGGAATATGCCCGATTAATTTGGCCATTGGGCTAACGCACCATTAACACACCATATATATCTAATTGTTAATATTACTGTACATTGAAGTGCTGATATTGAAAAAGCCAGCAAAACCCCAAACGTAAAAAGCCCATCATAAGGAAAGGCAAAGTTGAGTAGCGTGAAGGATTTGTTTTAATGCGAGGTTGTGTGTGTAATTTGACACGCAAACATGCCACACTGCCTACTTTACACGTTAAGAGCTCTCTGCACACGCGAGAAAAATACGCACAGCCACCATAAAAATGTCCACTTGTTGTGAGCGGACGATGTATCGCTAAAAAAAACGTGCTTATGAACAGACTGCGTGAACGTGCACCTTGATCGCTGTGAGAAACTGACCCCACAAACTGACCTGCAACTGAAGGTCGGTCCTGCTGGCTCTCACAATTAAAATGGGAAAATATTTAGCTAGACATCTTTGCGCGCAATTCAAGCGATGATTTGGAGAGGTTCTGGACTGACGCCCGCCCCCCAACCCCCACCAACTATGGCATGAGGTTTATTTGCCGGTTTAGCCCTTGACTTTTCAATGCTGCGTAGCTGTGCGTGAGCATGCAACCTTTGGGAATTAAAAGCACAACTGCTGCAATTGCCAGGGACACTCACGATAACGTAATCTAAGGCCGTAGCCATAGTCAACATTGGGGGGGACCAAATCTTCCAGGGGGTCTGGGGGTCTTCCCACCCCCCCCCCCCAGAGAAAAAAAATCTAAATTTGAAAACTAATTTCCTGCCATTTCCTGCCTAAAATATTTAAAAATTCACTAACACATGAGATGGGACTTTTTATTTATTTTTTACAATAATGTCTAATAGTGTATTATTGTATTACATTGCTCTGTTTTTTTATTTTTTTTTACTTTTTCTTGTTTCATTGTATGCAATGGCAGAGATGAGGGATTCATAAAGTACAACCATAACCACAATCATATAAACAGAAATCTATTTTTATAGCAATATATTGGGGGGGGGGGGACATTTTGAGCATATTTGAATTATAATTACGGCCTTGACGTAATCTATACTCATACGCACCACTAAAATACACGTCCCGAGCATGTATCACAACACACAGTACAACACGACCCACAATACAAAAAGTACACGACATAATACAGTTCACAAAAACCATACACTACACAAAAGACAGTAACATACAAAATAGGCAGTGTATTATGCGGTATAACACAGAATATGATCTAGCATAATACTTATAGTACACTCATCACGCTACCTGTACATTGTATTCCCAGTTCATTATACAATCATACGCAGTACACACACACACACAATGATACA